TAGTATAGTCTGCACTGTCTTTAAATTAGAACAATTTAAGTTTTACGATAAAATAATTAATTTTAAACAAAGCAAACTTTAATTAAATTTTTCATAGTCAATTTATTATTTACTTACTAACAACAACCACTCGAGTCTTATTTCTCTTTAAAATGTTTTTTCATTATAAAAATTAAATTTTAACTTCACCTTAGGTTATAATATCTAACCATTAAAATGTTGCGTCTATAAAATGTACTGATTCTATAGTTTTATAATAATATACAACGATTCATTTATTTTTCATGATGATTAAAATATTCGACTTAAAATTTAATATTGTTTAGTCTTAAAGGTTTGATTTGTGCTTAGGAATTTGATTATTATATATAAACATATTTTATTGAGAATAAAACTATTCATATACACAATGTATTTTCCAAAGGAGTTACCTAAATGCAATCTTTTGTCAGTGTTCGTCGGACCACTGTTGTAGTAGTAGTTGTACACTTGTACCCAATGTCTTTGATTGTAAACAAGAAAACTGAATGTTCGGTAGTCTGTGAAATTAGTATATACTTAAGGCTATTGTTACAAGGTAAAGCGCTCCCGGTAGATGTAGCAGATAATAATAATAATAATAATAATAAAAAAAAAACGGAAAAAAGGGAAAAATGGAAATGGCAGTTCAATGGTGGTTGCAGCTCGGCAGTGTGTGCGTGGACGGAGAAGAGAACAGTGTACTTGAAAAATCGTCGGCCAGAGCTAAAAAAAAAAAAAATTGCTTTAAACTTTTACCAAATATTTTACCATCAAGGCGCAGAACGTGATGCCGATAAAATAAAAAAAAATATAATAAAATCATTGTTGGATCGTATTTTTAAAAAATCACCGACCAAAAGTGATTCGCAGAAATCGACAAAGTGGACAAAGTCAGCCTTGTACTTCGTTTCGCTTTGTTATTATTTTTTCCTTTTCTCCACGAGGTTTTTGGTAGACCATTTAAAAAAAATCACGTTACAGAACTTCTATTCAAACGTAAATTCATCAAGAGTTATTAACCATAACAACCTTGTGAAATTGTACTGCACTCCAGAACAAAATATTATAAAAATATCTTTTAAAAATATTTTAGGAACTGAATAAATTAGAAACGACACGCACCTTTTGAAATATATTACGCACTTGCAAGTTGGCTAGAACAGCAGAATATTGGTGAGATGACCTCTCATAAAAAATTAAAAAATATTACATATTATGTGTAAGATTTAAAATTCGGTAGTGTTTCACTATAACATATTGTAAGGTTTATATTAAATAGGGAATTTATAAAATGTTATATAATTTCGAAAATGAATTGAAAACGAAAATCATTATAAACTGTCAACACGGTTTTCGAATCGAATATGCGAGTTTTTGCCTGCAAATTATTCACTTTATACGAACGGGTTGACAAGTGACCTGCAAATGTTAGTGTCCAAGAGTGCCGATGTCTACTACCGTAACTATTACGTGATGTTTACAAGTGTTTTTTTCCGGGAAACTCGATACCTACCTATGTGAAAATATTCTGAAGAGTGTTCAAAATGTCCATCGTATAATCATACACGTCGTGTACTCATAAGTACTCATAGTACATAAGTACTTATGGTTATGAATTACAATAATACAATTGGTTGTTTGCAATCACTTTATACTTACTTAAATATATAAAGTATAATATTTTAGTATAATAATGTATAGATCAATAAACACGTAAGACGAGAAATATTATTGTAACGATGAATGATTTGTAAACTTGACTTAGCTTCCTGCATACGTCATAAATAAAATTAATTGTTTTTCGTTTTTTTGTTTCAGGTAAGAACTAAAAGGACAAACTAAAAGGACAAATTACTCCCAATGCTGTTTTTCAATCATGTACAAGAACCATACCTTCACCATAGGCTTAATTTTTGTATAGGCACAAGATAAGTTACTGTCAATATAGGTAAGCCAATTTGTGTGGCCAATGTTAAAATTACATAATAAACGATCATTATTAACTTTTTAATCTGCCAAATTTATTGGGCACAGTTTGTACAAAACATATATTATATAAACCGTTGAAATAATATTAATATATCATGCATGGGTTACAATGGTGGTATGCAATGTTTTTGGTCTTGATTATATTTTAAAAAAACAATAATATGCACAAAAAGCAAAAACTACTTAAAATATTATGTTATAAGTATATACTTATCCAATTAAAATGTGTAAGTATAACTTTATACATTTAACATGAAGGAAGAAATTGTTTTAAGTTGTCTCAATTAAAAATGAGTTAATCCATTAATTTTAATTGTTATCTGATCTCACATAATATTAAAGTAATTATTGTGCAACTATAATTTTTTTTTTAATTAAACACTAAACTTTATATTTTTATGGCACGTTTGTGTCAACTAAATAATAAAATAAATAAATATAAATAAAATAATTTTACCCATATAACACGATAAACAAAAAACAAATTAACTTATTAATTAACAATTAATTGTAAACTTAATTTTAAAATAACTTTAACATTGGGTGTCAGTGAACCAGCAAATCACCAACTAAAGTTCCATTGACAATATAATAGATTTCATGGGTTTATTATGAAACGATATAAAACAATAAAACATTTAATTTATTGGTTAAACAAAAGTGCACGTACATATTTAATATGAACTGAAATTAAACGTATCAGCCGATAGGTATTGTAATAATTCATAACCATAATATTATGAACGGGGCAGATTAATGTGTTTAAAAAAATGTCAATTACCTGTTTTTATACTAATTCGATAACTTGTGCAAGTCAATCATAGCTTAAATATAACGAATTTAATTGTTATACAAACCACGTCAATTAGTTAAGTTGTACAGCCCATTAAACAATATGTATAAATATATACACACACACATATATATATAATACATAATTTTGTCAGCTATTATAATAATAGGATCGTTTATTTTATAAAACATCTGACAAATATTGTCGGTTTTTTTTTTGCGCTTAGCTATCAATCAGGGCGGTTTAATAAAAATGTCCGTAGATTTTTTTTTTTTTTTAGACATTTTCAAACATTATACACATTTTTTGCTACACACATCCTATATACGGTACGCTGGTTGGTTTTCCGTAGAAAATTCATTTTTACCTTAGCGAAACGTGATTTTCGAGCATTCGCGTGTAATGCGGGTGGTCGCGTAGGTGTATAATGTAACGTACTGGCGTTAAATGAAAGCAAAATATAGTAAATGTCAAACTGCTCGTACCTGCTCAGGGCGCGGTGGCCGCCGGAAGGGTTAGAAAATGTCATTTTCGCGAAAAAAAAATCAGATTATTTTCCTACGGTTTTTGGCGTTGGTATTATTATTATTACGGTTCAAACCTTCGAACCAACCGAAAGCCACCACCACCGTCGCCAAAAGGGCTTAACCTCGTATGACTTGTGAACCTGGCAGTGGTATTGTTTGTTATACAGATTATACCTATTATATTTATAAAATGTAGAAAATACCACATAATATGAACGGACTTTTCAATACAGCGATGGAGTTAATAATAATGTAGTGGGAAATGTAAGAGCATTTTTAGTTAGGACGTTTGATAATTAACTATTAATGGTCAAGTTATTAAAGAACATTTAGAAAGAAAATGTATTTTCTATTATATTATTATATACTGCAATACGAAATATAACATTGTTAGGCATGTATAATATATTGTCTATATATAATGATACCTATTGGAATAATGTAAGTATTAAACCTACTGTCAGTATGGCTTTATTTAAAAACAAACTAATATATTATGTTTTGAACATTGGCCCTTGTATCCAAGCTACCTTTGGTGTTTGAATTACGCCCTTTTATAGTAGGTAAAATGTAAGGTATATAAAAATGTATATATTAGCCTTTTGAACTCAATTTGTAACTGAGAGAGGCTATTTTAGACCCAAACCGTGTTATAGAAGTTACTAATGTTGTAACTCAGTCGAAATTCAAATAATATGATGAGTCATGGCAGTCAGTCTGGAAAATATAGTTAGACGACATATGGGACCATTATGAGCAGACTCATCTTAATAATATATTCACAATAATATTATAATAGTTTCAGGGATTAATGTTTTTATTATTTTTAAGTGTTTTATATTTCTTAAATCCAAAATTAAATATGTGAATTCATTAACCTCACTACGACGAATTGTAAAACATTTATTAGCGACTTCCTGATTTACGTTTTGACACATTTATCAAAACTACCTTACAAAGGTATTATAGTAAATTGTATGGTGTAAAGGCCGATGCCACAAATGCTAGGTCAGTATGATAACACTGTAAAAATGTATTGTATTTTGTGATCGATATTTTATGTAAACGACGTTTTAATAACAACTAATTTGCTTCTAACGTCTTGTTCACAACATACAATATTGATGTTTAAAACAAATCACTGTGAAAACGGTTGCACATTTTAAAATCAAAAATCCTTATCCGACGCAGTTAAAAACTCATAGAAACGTCTATGTTAATAATATTATTTAAGTGTACCGACAAAAAAATCATTTTTTAATAACTATTACAAATGAAACTCAACTAAAGTATATTAAGTCAATCATATTATATTTTTGTTTTTGAATCAAAACGTTTTTCACAATTTTTTGATCAATATACTTACAGTTACACTAGTTGTAACACAAACTTGCCTACACTTAAAAATTATTTTATCCTTAAAAAGCGAAAAATATTATGTTTTGTATATAATATAATATATTATAGTAGGATATATAGATAAGGACATATTAAAACAAAATCCTAGTGGATAAATGTGAATAAGTGTTTGAATAAAACTGACGCTGATTTCCCGAAAGGCCTATTACTCTGCCTCACTGCTGCAAACGTTTCGCGAGCAGCAAATGACATAAAATCCGGAGAGCGTTTAAATCAAAATTATTTTCTTGATAATAAAACCGGAATCTACTCTAACGAGGAGCAATAGGCAGACGGGGACACATTGAATTATCTTCAACGCGACCCTCAGGGGGTGTTTTGGAGTCACTGGTGTCGGATCCATTTGAAATTTCTGCCACGCAGCCGGCGGATTGTTCACTATTCTTCATACGTTTACTAATGCGACCGGTACGACTGATAATGTTGCGCTGTGCGGGCCGACTGAAACTGATTAGGTATTGCCTAACGAGCGGACCTGACACCTGTCGACCGTTTGCGGGACGTTTCGTTTCGTCCATCGTAGCCGAAAATGAAAAATCTCGGCCGCTCTGTGCAATTAATAATATATATATATTATATATATACATATATAAAAAAAAAAACAAACATACTAAACCAAACCAAACCCGAAACAAAGCATTCGTAGAAGAAAAAAATACACCTACTCGTATAATAAGTATATACGTCGGGAAAATTGCCAACAACTCGAAATCTACCCGCACACACATACCAGAGCGTGCGAGCGGGCTCAAGACATCGGGAAAAGGATATTAGACTGTTGGACGGGTACCAAGAAGTGATAGTAATAAAAAAAAGAGAAAAACAAAAAAAAACCATTGGAAAAAAATCGTTTTTATATTGCTGGAGGTGGCGGATCACCTACGCGATCCATGCGGTGACCGGTTGTGGTAAATAATTTTAATCAATTTTTAAAAGGTCTACCTCGTGATTTTCGGACACCACGCTTTCTCGTCTTGAGCCAGGTACATGAGTTTATACTGATTTGAGACGCATTCCTTTATTATAGACATTCCTTCCCAGTGGAATATGTGAAATACAATCAAAATCACGAGCTGGGCATCAAGGGCTGTAAGGTAAAATAGAGGACGATCGTCTCGTGATGTGGTAGTGCGGTATAACATATGGTCATGTAATAATTGTATCAACTTTGAGGTTTATGTAAAATTAAAATATGATATAATTTTCCTCGAAATATTAGCTCAACAGTCGTTTGATGTTTATTTTTCCAATCGCTTGAACAATTTTATTCATGTGTTTATATACCTGGGATCATAAATAAAAATATTCCTCCGGTTGTTTTCTCGCTCGGTGGTTTAACGAAAAAAAATCATTCGTAGCATCGAATGATATTATTGTGATGGCGGCTGTGGCGTTTAATTGCGTGCACATGTCTGCTGATCCGTCTTGAATTCGTGTACTGAAGTATGGTGTCAAATTCACGCTACCGAGTATGTAAGATCGACCGAAATATTAAATGAAAAATGTGTGGGTTCCTCACTTTTTGATTTGTGAAACCTGTCGATTCGAAAGGCCCTCGTCAACGAGTACCTATAATATAATAATAATAGCTAGCACACCTCACATAAGTGTTGATATTGTGTAAAAGGCATATTACTATGTGATGATTGTTGTATTGGGTATATAATACACTCAGTGCTTTAATTTGAAAAATAATAGAAATGGCTAGGAAATTGAATCCGAAAATGGAGCTATGCAATAGAAAATGTTTTTAGCTCACCGTTTCGTTGTCATCTACACACTAACACACACACTCACATACTCGTGCACTCACAACACACTAACAAACCGTTTCAAATAAACCCGATATTAAAACCGGACAAATAAATATTTGAAAGCCAAGACACATGTGTATGGTCGCTGACCAATCACTGCAATCGACTACTTTAGAAAACCTTAACGTAAACACCCGACGATTGATATTGTTTTCACACCCCATGGTTAATAATAAAATAAACAAAAGAATTTTTGATGGTCTCGTTTAGAAAAATGTAGAAAAAGGCACCACGCATAGCGACACCAAATTAATCAATTCTAGAATATAAAGAATTTCGAACACTATAATAATATAGACTCCGAGTTCTATTATAATTTTTTAGAAGAAGTGTGCAGTTTACTGAAAACCATTGACAGAAATCAGCGGGTGGGTGGGGAGGGGGGATTAAAGTTTATGTCCATCAAAAAGATGATTCGAAAAATATAATTCCTTTTCTTTCTCTGTATGAATATAATTGGCAATAGATACTTTGAATATTGTATTAATTACTTAATAAAAATTGTTAATTTTTAATTTTGACCAAAAAATTAACCACTTGCATATAGACTAAAGTATGCAGTTATTGGCACCTTAAGAATTCGTTTTTGGTAGTTATTGGCACCTATCCTGCTCCATTAAAAAATCGAATTGTAAATTATTAAATAAATAATAAGATAACACCAACATTGATAATAAAATAGTATGACCGTATAATCGAAAAAAAAATATCCCTAAAATTCATTATCAAACATTTTATATACGAAAAACAAAATTATTTGGTGCCAATACTTACACCACTACCAATAACTACATGGTTTACCCCTATGGGGTGTTTAGTACATTTAGTACTATTACAGCTCGAAAATTAAATAAAATATACATATAGGTGGATAATATTACATAGTAACTTATAAATATCTCACATGTTCGAAAGTATAAAATAATAAGTTTCAGGCCATTTGTATACAATAACAAAATATATAAATATAATATGATGAATAATTGAAAAATGTGAGAAATATTACCTAGGAGCAAAGTGTTTATGTATTCTCCTCGGCTAGGAGGAAAACTAGTGAACCAATTAAAGAGAATTTAAATTAGAAATACATTTCGGGATCATTGTTGAGACATCTATTATAATAGACACTAAAAAAAGCACGTTTTCTTAATCATAACGACAATAATAATTTTATGTTGTCCTACACTCGTGTCTCTTCACTTTACCCAACATTACATGCGGCGATGACGACTACAATGTCATCGGGTTTTCCGTCACTATACGTGTCACGGACGGTTAATCCCCCTCGAATTGCTTCTTTAAAAAACATAATGTTGAAGCACATTATTAACATTTTATTTGCGCTCGCATGCGATTAAATTTGTATTTCTTCGCCCCGCGGGTTAGGTACCCTGCAGACTGCTGCATCACGTAGTTTTATTGTTTTGTCGTCGTCCGGAAAAAAAATATTAGTCTCTATAGTCGTCTCCTCGTGAAAACTAACGAAAATAATAATAATAATAATAATAATCATGACGTTCACAATAGTTTGTCGCTCTGAACAGGACGTGATCTCTAACGGCAATCTGCAGTACGATATATGCACATCATAACTATCATAGGCGAACACAGTTACGATTTCATACCCTGTGGGGTATAAATTCAGTGTTGGGTAAGTTAGTTTTAAAAAGTAATTAAGTTACTTTACTCGTTACTCAAATAAAATTATAATAAAATTACTTTACTTTTCAAATAGAAAAGTAACTCATTACTTTCTCGTTACAAAAAAAAAAAAAATTTTTTCTTCAAATTTCTTGGCAATTATCATTCTGCAGGCAATAATGTAACATTTTATAGAAATACATTACCTATGGTAAAAAGGTATAATTTGAAAAAGATGTACAAAAAAAAAGATCTACAGTTAAATACATATTTACATAACAACAGAAATTACTTATAAGTTATGACTATTGAAAAATAGTAGTAATAGTAGTAATAAATTGTACCAACGTATCAATGGTAATTAATCATTATAGGTATAGTTAAGTATATTATTATGTTTATGTATTTATGTCACAAACTCACAACATAAACTTTAGGTATGTGCAAATAAAATGATAATACATAGGTATAGAACAAAATAAACTGTTTTTATAATTGCCAAAATATGGCTATAATGATTTACAACAGTATACTTTTGATTTTATTTAATTTTCAGAAAAATAATGATATATTCTAAATATAGTAATAACTAATATGTATTTTTAAATTCAACAGGTTTTGTACAACATTAAATTCTTTATAAAACCTATATAGTTTAGTCCACGCTAGATATTCATAAGAAACGTTTGTGAAGGTACCTATTTAGAGGAATTAAATTAAATAATAAATTTAATTAACTGTTCTAGTGATTTAAAACCATTGAGAACTGAATTGGGGTGAGTTAAAATTAAAATTAAATATAAATACATATTAGATTCGTAAACATAATAATACCCGCATTATAGACGATTTTTTTCAATTCGCAATAAGTAGGTAGGTACTAGGTACTTAATAATTCGAAACTGTAACGCGTTATTCTATAGAAATTACTTATCAAAAGTAATTTCCATTACATTTTCGTTACATGGAAATAACTTTAATGAAATTACGTAACGCGTTACAAGCAAACCCTGTGGGGTATATTAGTAGAACGGTGAAAGTCCAAAATAAAACTTTTTAGAAGAATATAAAATAAATAAGTACTTATCTGTAGATACAATCGATATTATTTAGTAAGAAAATGTCGAAAAACCCAAATGTTTCTAATGATTAATAAAATAATAAAGTTAATTACAAATATTTCTAGGCAATGGTAATATACGAGCATTCATGTTTTTGCTGAGCACATTTCACCAGCTGCATATTCTGCGACCCTAAGTCACCTGTGCACTCCTATATTATGATAACTTATGCTATAACAATATTATACTCGTCGACAGCTTGTTTATCGGTAGTGTTATACACTCGCGGAAGTCTTCAAAAATATCTCCATTATTACCGTTATGGTATAACCAGTGTTATCCGTGGTATACCGGCGATTACTGCGGGCCTAGAGTAAACTCGCAAATCGTAAAACGTTTCGTGTTGCCACGAGCACCAACGGTGAGCAACGTGTGCCGAGATCGAAAACGTCCGGATAACAGTTATTTGGCGTAGGATCACGGCCAGAGATTTTCCGGCCATAATCCGTATAATATTATTGACTTCGACGATGTTATTAGCCCTTCGACATTGCGTCGACGATATTGCGATGATCCGTGTCGGTGGTACCTATAACGGAGGCATATTCGCGTTACACATATTATTATATCTATATTTTGGTGATACTATTTTAATAATATTGCCACTTCGATCGTTCGCACCTATATCCTGGAGGGCTTTCGACGAATAAACACATCGTTCGAATATAATAGTTGTCGTACAACACCGTATGCGCTTACAATCCTACATAATATAATATTATATTGATAACGTTATTAAATCGCAAAACTATTCGTCCTAAATTTCGTTGTCGCTGCATGGACGGGTACGCAGTCGGTTGGTTCATTTCATTCGATATTAATAAATAGATGCAAACGTGCGTACAAAATTAAAATGAAATAAAACAATACTCGTCGTTTTAAAAGGGGGGAAAAAAATTGTATTTTACAAACACAAAAAAATGCATAATAACAACGGCTTGC